ACCCATTTGCTCTGCTGCTACCAGGTGGCTCCATCCAGAATCCTAGCACATTTGTTCAGTTTCTTTTTTTATTATTATTATTTTTTATTGTTTTTCAAAGATGGGGTTTCACCATGATGGCCAGGCTGGTCTTGAACTCCTGACCTCAAGTGATCCACCCACCTCAGCCTCCCGAAGTGTTAGGATTACAGGCGTGAGCCACCGCACCCGGCCCTTTTTTTTTTTTTTTTTTTTTAAGTTTTAAGATATGTTCAGTTTCTTTATCCTAAAGAAGGGATGGTACCAGACAAGTAGTCTCCAAAGATCCCTCCAACTCCCATTTTCTAATTCTGTGTAAATGGTTATTTATGTTAGGAATTTCAATGTCAGGGCCAAGCACAGTGTGAAATATAAACATTGTAAACTGTTTAAAAGGTGAAAACACTGGTTCTGTCATAAATGCTGCCTTCCCAAATGTAGTTGTCAAGTCCACAATGTCAAGCCTTGGTTGATTATTTAAATGACTACTAATCATACTTGTTAGGGGTTGTCTTGCCGTGAATGGGTACCCTTTTTTTCTCTTTTTCTATTTGTTTGTTTGGCTCTTATTAATAAATACCATTGCAAAGCAGTGAATGCTCATCATCAGTTGCACACATCAAACAATTAGAGATTCTTTGAACATTTCTTGAACTTAGGAAATACTAGGAGGACAGAGTGTGGACATTTGGTGGGACAGGACCCCAGCTTTAGGTAGACATTTAAAAGAACTGGTGATTCTTAACACATTCTTCAAGTGCACACTTCCTCATAGGATGTTTCGATACTAATAACTCTTAGTGACTTTTTGTTCTTTTAATTAAAACTACATACTGAAGAGGGTTTTTTGTTTGTTTGTTTTTATTTTTGTTTTGTTTTTTTGAGACGGAGTTTTGCTTTTGTTGCCCAGGCTGGAGTGCAATGGCATCATCTCGGCTCACTGCAACCTCTACCTCCCAAGTTCAAGCGATTCTCCTGCCTCACCCTCCCGAGTAGCTGGGATTACAGCCATGCACTACCATGCCTGGATAATTTTGTATTTTTAGTAGAGATGGGGTTTCACCACGTTGGTCAGGCTGGTCTTGAGCTCCTGACCTCAGGTGATCTGCCCGCTTTGGCCTCCCCAAGTGCTGGGATTGCAGGCGTGAGCCACCGCGCACAGCCCTGAAGAGGTGTTTACATTTCTTTCTCTAGTAAGAAAAATTTCAAGCTTCTGTATTCCATTCAGTATTCCCTAAAATAAAATCAATTTTTGTCCTGAAATATGGTTTTAAAAACTGAAAGTCTGTTTTCTTTGATGACCTCATTAATAACAAGAGTTTCATATCAGCTCTCCCCTGCCTCTTTCTCCTCCACCCTTTCCCCCCTTTTACACTGTGCCAATCACTCAGGTGGATGCTTGCTGTCACCCCACAGCACAAGATAAATAAGCTTGGCTTGGAAGGTTTCCTAGCAACATATTGTTCTGGCAACCTGCTCTGTTTCTCTGAGCAAGATGAAGCCAAACATCCTAGCATCTCAGCCAGATGAGGAAGGATTAGTTTATTGAGACTGATTATTGCCTTTTTTTTTTTTTTAATATTTCACTTTGAAACGAACCTTTTAATATAAGTAGCAAAAGTGACTTTTAAAAGGACATGTAAAAATATCCTTTTAAAAGGACAATTTTTTTTTCTCTTACATGTAAAAGAAATGTTGGTAATAGTTTGAAGTTTAAAAATACGGTTTTAGAATTCTCTAGAAATTACAAGCTTCCAGTATGTAATTCAGTCATTGGTGAGTGGATCCATTTTAGAACCATATAGAAAATACTTCAACACAGGACTAATATTCAGCCTGGTGTCCAGTGGTGTGGTATTCCTGCGTAGAAACACTCAAATACTTTCGATCTGGTGGGAAAATGGCTGCTGGAGTGGGCTTTCTCCTCACAGTACCTGCAGCTGCTTCCCGTGGCTCTTGTTCCTGCTCCTAGGGAAACATTGGCGATACCTTGTCACTGCTTAAAACCCTGAAGTGTCCCCTTTTTCTATAGCTCCAGGGTTATTGTAGTGCTAGTGATCTGCAACTTGATCTTCAGAGTCTGTTTTTGGTTTTCTCAGTGTATGATTAATGTATATAGAGAAAATAAAGCTAAGGGAAATTGAGACTGCTATCAAAGCCAGGAAAAATAACATCGTCGTTGTTTTGTTAACACATGATCATGTATATTTCCCTTGTTTATCTAATGATCTGTGAGGGTACACAGTTGGCAGGTGGTGCTTTCCTTTTGCACTCTAGTTGGTCATAGTATACTGTTAGAGGTCTCTGGGGATGGAGTAATAAAGGATTAGTGTTTCTCATAACAGTGTTCAGCAGTGGCTTTGCAATTCAGTTACACCCTGTAAAATGTCCTCACTCCCTGTTTGACTGGAGAGACATTCCCAGTCAGATGAATATTCTCATAATGTGGTTGTTGGCTGGTTTGTAGCATCTATCAGGCTTGGACTGAGTTTGTGAAACTTCCCAATTGTGGTCAGAAGCAGGTGATTGTAGTACTTCATAGTGTTCCTGAGTAGGAAGAAGAAAGTAATTAGAATAAGATGGGGAACGACACCTGGTGTCTTTGTTTTTTATTTAACAAATTATCTGGCCAGATGCCAGAGAATTAATTGTGTCCTCATTTTAATGCAAATAAGGAAATTGTGAGATAATTATATATTCATGCTAGGTGGTTTCCATTCTCTTTTGCTCTCTCACTCATATGTATATATTTTCTAAATACCATATGTTAAACTCAACAAGGAACAATCTGTTGAGGGCCTAGTATGGGCCAAATACCACTATTAGGTATTATGGCAGATACTGAGGGCAACACATCATCCTTGCCTTCACAGAGTACGCAAGAAGTCTGCAAAGTAGCACGTTTGTGATTTAAACCAAACAAAAACATTAAGGAAATGTTTTGATGTTTAAAGGAATCATAGGCTAGGTATAGTGGCCCATGCCTGTAATCCCAACACTTTGGGAGGCTGAGGCAGGAGGATCACTTGAGCCCAGGAGTTTGAGACCAGCCTAGGCAACATAGCCAGACCCCATCTCTATAAAAGTTAAAATAAAATAACATAAATAAAGGAATTCTATAAATTTGATTGTCCAAAGAAAGGCTAAAAGTAGATTTAATACCTATTATAGAACAGAATGAGTTCTAATACCTTAATTTTGATTGAATACTTATTTAAAAAAACAATTTAAAAAATGTCCATGAACAAGGCATTGTTTTAGGTACCTCTCTGTTAACTCATTTAATTCTCCTACACCATTATGAAGTAGAAATTTTGTTTACCTGCCATTTTATAAATGAAGAAACTGAGGCTAGGAGAGTTTTTTTGTTTGTTTTAAAAGACAGGGTCTCAGCCGGGCGCTGTGGCTCATGCCTGTAATTCCAGCACTTTGGGAGGCCAAGGTGGGTGGATCACAGGGTCAAGAGATCAAGACCATCCTAGCCAACATGGTGAAACCCTGTCTCTACTAAAAATACAAAAATTAGGTGCACTGCTGGCACGCCCCTATAGTACCAGCTACTCGATCTGGAGGCTGAGGCAGGAGAATCGTTTGAACCTGGGAGATGGAGGCTGCAGTGAGCCAAGATTGTACCACGGCATATCAGCCTGGCAAGAGAATGAGACTCTGTCTCAGAAAAAAAAAAAAAAAAAAAAAAAGAGTCTTATTCTGTTGCCCAGGCTAGAGGAAGTGGGTGTTCACACATGCCATCAGAGTGCACTGCAGCCTGGAACTTCTGCGCTCAAGCGATTGTTCCATCTCAGTCTCCCAAATAGCTGGGATATAGGCGTGCACCACTGTGTCCTAAGAGAGGTTAAATATCTGTTTGCCGAGGGCTGTTGTCCTATACTGTGCTTATTTGTTGATTTTTAAAATTCTGTGAGTCCATAGGATTCTAGTTTTTTTTTTTTGTTTGTTTGTTTTTTCAGAAAACAGTAAACTGCTGTCTTTGTGGATGACATAATTTTAGCAAGAAATAAATGAGTTGTTTAGATGACTTTCTATTATCTCATACAGCACAAAATTCTATATTTGAGTTTTCATTGTTAAACATTACAATCTTCTTTCTTTTCAGTATATTACCATTTTATATGTGTGTACACACACACACACACACACACACACACACACACACACACACACACATATATACATTTTTGGTGGCGGCGGTGGGGGGCGACCTGAGTCTTGCTCTTTCACCCAGGCTGGAGTGTAGCGGCAGGCACGATCTCAGCTCGCTGCAACCTTCGCCTCCCAAGGCTTAAGCAATTCTCCTGCCTCAGCCTCCCAAATAGCTGGGATTACAGATGTCTGCCACCATGCCTGGCTAATTTTTGTATTTTTAGTAGAGATGTGGTTTCAGGCTGGCCTCAAACTCCTGACCTCAACTGATCTACCCACTTGGACTCCCAAAGTGCTGGGATTACAGGCATGAGCCATCACACTCAGCTCATTTTAGAATATTTTTTGTAGCTCAATTTTTTACTTGTTTAAAATAATTTTCATTTTCAACATAATAGAAGGATATGAGTGAATTATACTTAAGAAAGTTAAAATTAACACTATTAAATACATTAGCAAGAGAAGGTTGTGACATCAGCAATACTATATAGAACAGAGGTGGACAAAGTGTGGCCTGTTTCTGTAAATAAAGTTTTCTTGGAACACAGCGGGCTCATTTATGTATCACCCATGGCAGGTTTTGTGCAATAACGACAGAGTTGAATCTTTGCAACCTAGACTATAGCCTAAAAAAATATATACTGTCTGGACCTTCACAGGTTAAGTTTCCCAACCCCTACTCTGGAGTCTGTATTTTGTTTCTAACTTTGAGTTGGGCATGTTTCCTTAGGATTTCAGAAATTTAACGAGCAAACAGACCTGAAATTTTTTTTTCCTAAATGGTCTCCTTGTCTAACATGGTATTCCTCAAATCCCTGCAGGTACCAACCAAGAAGCTGAAGAAATATGAGAAAGAATATCAGACAATGCGAGAGAGTCAGCTGCAACAGGAAGACCCAATGGATAGATACAAGGTATGAGAAATATTTTGCATCTATCGAAGTACCTTCTTTTTTGTTTTAAATGAGACTGAGTCTTGCCTTGTTGCCCAGGCTGATCTTGAACTCCTGGCCTCAAGCAGTCCTCCCACTTCAGTCTCCCAAGTAGCTTGGGTTACAGGTACCAGCCACCATTCCCCAGCTCAGCAAAGTATCTTTTTTTTTTTTTTTTACTTAAAGCAGCAACTGTGGCAAGTTCAATTCCCTCTGCTCCTCCTTGATTGATTTAGATGCTGATTATGCTAACTGTCCAGGTATGTCTTCATTTCAGGAGATTCCCAAATAGCCAACCATAATATTTCTTTTCTTTCAGTTTGTATATTTGTAGGTAACTCCAGCTGTTGCATTTATACTGGGAATCTTCATAAGAAGCTGAGAGAAAGAGAGGGGAAAAGAAAGTGGCTTTCTACTTTCAAAAATGAAACAAAAAGGAAAAATGGCAAAGTACTGTTTTAGCTGTGCATGGTCATGTCCTCAAAGACTTTTAGCAGGTGAACTGTTCCAAGACTGACAAGGATGTTTCAGAGTTGCCTCTGTCTGTAGCAAATGTTAAAAATACCAACTCACTTGGAAGGAAAAATAAAAACCACAAAGGTATATTGAGCACAGTAATGGTGTTTGTTGCAACATTTATTTCCAGACAAATTTATGAACAAAAATGATATTTGACTTACAGTATGAAATTTCAGAATCAAAATAATTTCAGTTTAATACATTCATTAATTGTGAATCTCTCTAATGGTAATTAGCAGCACTGTTCCTAGGATTCAATGTTGGGAAACACTTATTTCCAACTTACTTTTTCCAAGTAAAATATTGTCTCTTTTCAACATGCTTTAATTTTTCAGACTCATACAGATGCATAATAGCTTCTTCTCCCTCCACATCAATACACTAAGATAAAAGAATATCGTATTTTCAGCACTGAGCACCAGTGCCAAGAAGTCCTGCCAAGAAATGGACTGTGTGGCATGATTCATTAGATCACCCACATTGGAATGACTTCCAGTTTTGTGACTAGAGTTACCTTTATGTGGTCAGAGCTGGACATGCCAGCATAGTCACACAGTACGTCTTCGCTCTGTGGCTGAACCGAATAGCACAGGATGTATGCAGAGGAACAGAGAAGCAGGATGTAGGTTTTGTAGTCAGACAGGTCTGAATTCAAATCTTGCTCATTTTTTAGAGCACAGGATTTAGACTTCAAATTGAGGGTTTTAATCTCCATGCCACCGTTCAGCATCTTAGACTAGTTATTGAACCTCTTCATCATGTGTAAAAGGTACAGTGTATCGGATTTTTTGATGGATTGTTGCAAGGATGAGGCATGCTGTATGTTAAGGACTCGGCTCATAGTTGTGTTCAAGAAATGACTGTTATTTTATGAAGTCTACTACGACAAATTATGCAATCATTACTAGAATAATACCACCTTATATGGGTCTTCCCCTCTAGTCCATTGCTGACTGTTCTCAGTTCTTTCAAGTGTTGCTAGCCAATACTCTCCCCTTGCTTACAGAAGTGGTTCAAGATCTGATGATAAAATCCCACATACTGCTATAGCAGATAACTATAACAGTAAGGTGTTAACAGATAATGTGCGAAGCTTAATTTTCACCAACATCCCCTCAATAAAACCAGCTTTCAATGTAAATCATATAGCATGCTGCTTTAGAAAGGCTTGAAGGCAGTAATTATAAACTATTATTAAGCATCCAAAATGGAGCTCTCCTTTTGCTTATATTATTCTAATTTTCTTATTACTACCATTGTTATGAATAAATTCTGTGAAGAGTGCTTTAAAATAAGAGTGAAATGAAAGACCAAACTTGTACATGTAAAATCAGGCTGGAACTGAACTTGTTATTGTGTCTTAAATCTTTTTTTGTGCCCAAGCAGGTATGTATACATGAATAGTAAGATGTACATTATTTTTAAAGTACTTATAACATGTAAGATTATCAATGTGTATGGTTTTTGAGAGATCAAAGTAGGATTAAACTTTTTGTTTCGAAAGCAGGCATTACTTTTTAAGTTCGAGTATTGTTTCTTCTTCTTTGTACATATCTGATACCCTCTATCGCTATTTCTTTTAGATTATTGTGATAAGTTGTCAGTACATTTATCTAATATCTCTATTCTCCTTTAATAATGTCTAGGCATTTGTCCTGGTAATACACTTGGCAAATTTATAGTTCTTAGATTATAATTACATTTTCAAGGTGGCAATCAACAGCATAAGCTTCTAACCATCAACGTATCTGGTTTTTCAGATGATCAGTATGTAATTTAAGAAGCCATATTATAATTATCCTAATTAAAGTAGCAAAGTTAGAAAATACCTTTTACATATTCTAAATTTAATCCTGTGAAGAATAAGATCTCTGTCCTGGGAACGAGCATTTTATAATTCATAGATCTTGGACTGGGAACGAGCATTTTATAATTCATAGATCTTGGACTGGGAACCCAGCTAATGTAAACTCTTAAAGACTGACTTGGGAAGATCTTTGAGGGCAATGAGTGAGAACTTGCACCAGTTCAGTAACAACCGCTCCTCATCATTAGAATCTCTGCTGCTTAAAAAGTCATTTGTACACCCTAGCTGGCCATCTGACAAGAAAGCTAGGAAGGCTGTAGGAAATTTTTTTTTAAAGCCCAGATATGTTATATAATAAGATATTTTAAGAGGTATTTCAGTTCAGTGCTATTTCTCTTGGACATGGTAGTGTTTGTAAAAGGGCTGTCAGGTCGGGCATGGTAGTTCAGGCCTGTAATCCCAGCACTTTGGGAGGCCAAGGCAGGTGGATCATAAGGTCAAAAGTTTAAGACCAGCCTGGCCAAGATGGTGAAACCCTGTCTCTACGAAAAATACAAAAATTAGCCGGGTGCGGTGGTAGGCGCCTGTAACCCCAGCTACTCAGGAGGCTAAGGCAGAGAATTGCTTAAACCCAGGAGGCAGAGGTTGCAGCAAGCAAGATCGCACCACTGCACTCCAGCCTGGGTGACAGAGTGAAACTCCATCCCACCAAAGAAAAAAAAAAAAAAAGGCTATCACAGGGAACCTAGAGGTGGGATTAAAGATCCAAGAATGTAGAGGTAGCTCTCCACAGTGATACTTCTTGCTTTACAAATATTTTCATGCTCAGGCTATATCGTTATAGTCACCTTCATTCAATAATTAAATCTCAACTACAAAGAAGGAGGTAAAATAGTTTTGTTATAAATTTAAATTTTAAAACTCAAAGTATGAAAATCTTCTGGAATTAAGAAGTAATATTGATTGTACAACTTTGTGAATATACAAAATCACTAAATTGTACATTTGATTTTTTTGATTTTTTATTTTTTGTTTTGAGACAAAGTCTCACTCTGTCGCCCAGGCTGGAGTGCAGTGGTGCAGTCTCGACTCAATACAACCTCCGCCTCCCGGGTTTCAAGTGATTCTTGTGCCTCAGCCTCCTGAGTAGCTAGGCTTACAGGTGTGCACCACCACGCCCAGCTAATTTTTGTATTTTTAGTAGAGTTGGGGTTTTATCATGTTGACCAGGCTGGTCTCAAACTCCTGACCTCAAGTGATCCACCCGCCTCGGCCTCCCAAAGTGCTGGGATTACAAGTGTGAGCCACCGCACACAGCCACTAAATTGTACATTTCAAAAACATGAATTTTATGGTATATGAATTACATCTCTTCCCCTCCCAAAAAAAGAATATTCCAAGACGACTGTCATTTAGCCTACCCTTTTCCTTTTATGAACCCTAAATTACAGCAGAGGTACCTGTGAGGAAGCCTTGCAGGAGGGAGAGCTTTCTGTTGAAATTAGAGCTAATTAGTGATTTTTCATCTCATATGTGTCCATATTTATAGGATAAAGGCCAGTACAGTGGGTGGTGCATTAATTTTTAATTTCCAGATAGAACATACGTTGTACATTATATGTATACACACACAGACATAAACATATGTAAGTCGGTAACACATTTATATGCACTGCCTGTGCTGTCTGGTCTTGGCATCAGTTTATATTTTAAAGTCAGTGAGCACCGTAATGACTGCTTATAGCCTTTACTCTTTCTGTTTCTCTTCATGACTAGATTCCAAGAGATAGAAAGGAAACTTTTTTCAAGGAAGAATGTGTAGAATATTTTTATTTCAAATCTCTTTTATCTTCCTTCTTAACTTGGACCTGGCCAGATTTGTGTAAAATTCTTTGTCTACTCTAATATTTTGGTTTGTAAATTTAGTGGTTGATTTTCTAATGAGGTAAAATATAGGATAAAGATTTGGCTGTAGAAATAGCATATTTTTTTTTTCATTTTTGTACAGGTTCCCAGAAAACACACATTCATCAATATGTGTAGCAGTTTTAGTATATTTTAGAAACATAGTAACTAGCCCTTAATAAGTGAAGTTACCAATTTCAGAAATTAAAATGTTTTTTATCTTAAAGAGATGAATTGTTTCTACTGTGAGGAAAGTTTTCTAGTGATGTTACCAGTAGATGGTACTTTTTGGAGATCTGCAGCCTTCAGCTACCTTTGGAGAATGATGTTCTTTTCTGGTTTAATTAAAGAACTACTTACACAAATGAGAGTTAAGCCTTAAAAAACACAGCTACTTAATTAAATTCATTGAATCTCCCAAAGCATAATAAAGGTTACCTGTTCTAGATGGGAAAATACTAAAAGAATCTGGAATATTTATACTCTCTTGGGTTTGGGACACGGATAGTATTATAAATACATAATTTCTAATTGAAGTGTCTTATACATGTTCAGTACAATTAAATTTAGACTGCTTAACCTCGTTCTTGAGATTAAACGTAGTAATTTTAAAAATCAAAATGTCATTTAAACAAAGAAAATGATTCCTCTGTGTTTACAGAGTTTTTCTTGCATATACTAATTTTTGTAGAGCAATTGCCCCTACATGCAATTTCAAATGAAGCTATTATGCATAGTAAAAATAATACAA